CATGAAGATCGCGGTGTGCTGCGCAGCATCATGCAAAGCATTGGGCATGAAGCGAGTGTTCCTATAAGTGCGCGCAAGTTACCACCTGGAAAATCCCCAAAAGCAGTGGCAGAGCAGTCGTGCATCCGAACACGACTTGGGCCTTCACGATGTCATGGGCCAATGCGCATGTGGCGCGGCTGGCCGAGAAGGCACAGCTCAGAGGATCTAGGGTTTAGTTTTTGATGGTTCAGGGTGAAAGGGAGTCTTGATAATGTGAGGCTGTGGTGTTTGGGGTGTGTGTTTAGAAGCGAAGTCAGGCATTTCAGAATTTTGAATTGAGGACAGCCCGATGCTTCGTGAGAAGATGGCAGGGCCAGCGATATATCTTTCCAAGAGGATCAGCTTCATGCCATCTGGATGTTCATAGATTCAGATGATTGCGCGCGTGCTTTGTCAGCCTCACTGAAACCTCATCCTCCAATACCAAAACCCCAATCAGCCCAATGCCGTCAAGCCCAATAGCCACAGCCCAAAAGATCCTAAAACAGCCCGAAAAGACAAGGCCGCACACCCTGGTTCGACCTTGCCAACTCAGTGGTTTCGGATGGGGAACTTCGGTTGCCTCAATCAACCCTGCACCTTCGCCCAAACTTGAGTGCCTACACTGCACCCTTCAAAGCCTGGGCACTAGCAGTCAGTAGCACTTACTGCCGGCAAAGCGCTATAACTTGAACACGAGATCCGTGCATGAAGGCCCCTCCAGAGGACGTTTGTGGCCTCGTGGTGGTCTGCTCGTGGCCCATGCCACAGCCCGTGTGCCTTGACCGAACCTGGAAGGCAACATCCTACTACAGGGGCTTTAGTAATATTTTAACAGTAATCTATATTATTTTGGGTGGTTCCTCACTATAACTATAACTATAGTTATAGTATAAGTATAATGGGCCCCAAAGCCCTATTCTAATTATTAAGGCCCCTATATTACAAGTTCTGGAGCTCCGGGTTGAGGCCTCAGGGTTGAGCAGGGTGGTTCATTGGGTTCGATGGCTGGGCTCGGAATTGGCATGATTCCAGGATGGGGGCTTCTGTGACTGCTGCGCCTTAGAGTACGCATGCCAAGAGCTGATCTCTGGTTCTGTGACCTCGCACATGGGTCTACTCTACACTGTACACATCGTGCACCCAGGCTGGAGCAGTATGAGCTCTTCCGGGAGAAGCTGGCGGCAGCGATGCCCAAAGAGGCTCTGGTATGAAGCAAGCGGGTATTCGATCATCTGGCAGGCTACCTAGATCTACCTGAATCTACCAAGCCTATGCCACAAAACTTGAACCTCGAGTCTCCTAAAGTCCTAGAATGGTTGCTTGCCGACTCCCGATTCCCGCGAAGGTCTTTCTAGTGAAGCTTCTCGAGCTGTGGAGGCCTACGTCTATCCTGGCACGACTCTTCACTGCACGATCTGCACCCTGCGGGCGTTTACTGCAGGACGGGCTGCATTGCCAAGCCTGCATTCAGCCTCTTTAGTCTCTAAGATAGGTGGTTGTCATGAAGTTATATCAGGAGGCTACAGGTGCATGAAAGATACAACACCATTCCCACTTCGTCCTCGTGTTTCCATACCTAACCCGCGGCTGCCCAAACGAACCCCACTTTCCACCTCCTGCTGAGGCCGCATGGAGCCCAGCGAGAAGCAGCGAAGCTCCGAAAGCTGGAGCAAAATCCTCGACGCCGCCCGAAGGGACCCGGAATGGCCAACAGGCGACCCCACTTTCGGGCCCTAAGACTCTCGAGGCAGCCCTTGTAGATTGACAAGTTCAGTGCATCGTCAAAGACATGACATTTACACGTGTTAGAGGCATGTTTGAACATAAATATGGAGGTTTCCGAAGAGTGGTGGTACCTTATTTCGGCGTCTACTATTAAGGTACTATATTGGGGTCCCCTATTTTCGGAAACTCCCATATACCTGGAATTGCCTCTGCATGCAGACATGCATGTATGCATGCTACGGCATTGTTCTGCAGGCCCGGTCGCATTGAAGATGGGGCGCCCGACTCTCGAGGGATCCGCCGGTATTTTCCGCTACGAAGACACAGCAGCTTGATCCGAAGCTCGGGGTTGGCGGTTCAGGTTTGCGGTTTCGGAGTGCACCTGGACCTAGACTCAGACCTTGAATTGCCCTATTAGCCGTCTTTGTTTATCATAGGCTCTGTTTTCGCAGTCCGGTATGAAGAGAGCAGGGAAACCCCAACGAAACATCATCTACGGATCGAGTCAGCACTCTTGCACTGTTGCGGTTCGGGTTTAGGCCCTGTTAGGCATTCATTAAGGAGTTGTCCGAGGATTAGGCCTGAAGTGCCTGCAGGGTGCTTTTGGGTGCGTTCACTTGTCAGGTGTAGAGAGGCTTCTCCGGGTTTACGATTTGGGGTTTGCGGTGTCTCAAGATGCTGGAAAAGAGGAGGGACTACAGTAGGTGTCCACCACCTCCAAACCAGACGAGATCTCCTTACCCTGCTTAAATCTGCACTGCAAGCTTTGGAGTTCAACCACCCCGAAAAACACCTAACTAAGCCCTGAGCATCTTCAGGCTGGCACCATCGCTGCCATGCGCAAGGCACTTCGTGCCGCCATCATCGCTGCCGGCGGCGAGCCTGCAGAAGGCAAGGCCCAAATCGGCGGCGGCAGAGCACGGGTGCAGGTACATGGGTCGCAACACATGCAAGAACCCAACTAACGCTGTTGGGATAAGACAGACAGTGGTACAACTCTCGCCGCGCACTTATATGCCCTTGAATCATAGTAAGACCAATAATGGACCAATAATTATTGAAGAATCAGAAGCACAGGAGTGTAAGCCCGATGGTAGCCAGTGAGCGATCTCATGACGAGGCGGAGGCGATCGTTCGAAGGCCAAGCCCCCCTCGGGCACGCCGGAAGGCCGTCGGGTTAGGCTGTAAATATAAGGGTTTTGTAGGCATTTGAGGGGATTGTAATTCATGGGTTTGGGGCCCAATTTTTGAGGGGGTTGAGGTCAGGGGCTCAGGATGGAGTAGTGCGAGTGTTCGTGGCCTTGGGACCGGCGCTGCTTGTAAAGGGGAAAAGGAGGGAGCTTTAATGGGGACCCCTACCCTATAATGGGCTATATAATGGGTATATTAAGGGTATATTCCTAGGGGTCCTTATTCAGGGTCCCTCCTTTTACCCTTGGATGTTTGTAGGGCTACGAAACCCAGTTGAGCGACTTCCATCGTGAGCGAGCCTGAAGCCATCCATCCACCGAGACCTTCGAATCTCGAGCTTTTCTGCGTCCCGCAGGTGAGCCGGCACCGCATATCCCGGACGCTGGGCGCATGAAATCAGCTGCAGTGAAAGGGCTTTCCGGTTCGATGGGACCAGACGCCAAGCCGTTCGACACCGATCCGTATGCGGAAAGCTTGAATGTCCAGGTCCTGACCCCCTACATCGGTGCACACTCTTGCCCTCGATGAGTTTTACTTGAGTCTCAATCCGAGACAGTATACAGTAACAGGGACACACCCTGATTAGCGTCTCGACCCAAATTACTTCCCAAAGCTACCATGCGAAGCCGTAGTATCCCAAAGGCCTGCCCAGACACGAAGTTGCTAAATCGGAAACAACCTCAACCCCTGCGAACTCTCTGCAAGGATATTGTCCACTCCACCGTACTGCGCTGGACGGCCGAGCCGGCCGATCGAGCTGCGGCCCAGGCACTCGACCTGTGAACCCGCTTATGAGCCCTAGAGTCGCATGTATAGTATGTACCGTAGGGTTGGCGCCTAGTCTAGGGGAACCTTAGTTTGGGTCATGCTTTAAGTGAAGCTTCTGCTTTACATAATGGCCCCTGCTTTCCTGAAACTTCCATGTGCACCTTGTTGTTTGGTCATGAGCATACGATGTGGGACCGAGCAAGCGGCGCGTCGCAGTGTCCGTGGGGATGGTCTATAGGCCTCTTTGCAAGATCGGTTTCAAAAGCCCGCGTTTGTGAAAGCTTCTGACATGTCACATCGTCTTGATGCGGTGCAGGAAGCTTTTGCACAAGTGGCGGAGCGACTCGTCTGCAGTAATTTGTCAACTGCAAGATGAGCTTTATAGTGGAGCGGGATAGACGGGGATTTCCCAATCAGACGTGGCCTGGGGTTTGTCTGTTCGAGGTTGTCAGAATGAGCCAAGCGCCTGACATGTCCGTTTGCAGGTCCTGGGAGCCTCTGGAAATCATTGCAACGGCTCCGAGAGCCGTTTTCGAGGACATTCCGTGCCCTGGTAAATTCAGCTGGTTGTGTTACTTCAAAACAGCCGAATATCAGCCCGAGACTCTAGGAACAAAGTTAACATAGCAGTTGGCTAAGTTAAGATGAAATCTCCTGTTACAAAAGCCAGTGTGACGGATGTAGAGAAAGGTACATGCACATCCCGGATGATGCGGAGCACACCTGGTGGCGCAGCGACGCCTGAGATGCCGAAGATCCCGGCAGCTCCCCCAAAGCCGGGGAGCCAACTTCGGAGAAGCAGAAACCATCGAGCCGCGGGATGAGAGGATTAAGTGACTGAATGATATTTATAGGTGTAAGGTTCAAAGGCATTGGGGGACTTCCGGTTTTTGGGTGCCTGATGAAGTTGAAGGGGTTTGGGGTTTAAGGTGCTTTTCCTTTCTTAAGGTCCGCATAGGCCGCATAGGTTACTGGCAAGAGCTTCTCGACAAACCCAGCATGACTGCCGGTGCTGACGATTTTTGCTGCAGGGTGCAAGACAGTGGCATGATGTGGCATGCAGGAAAGTTGCCGTCGTACCAGCAGCGACAAGCTACGGGTTACACGCCCGAGCAGGCAAGGGCGACGTGCTCTACGTGAAACCGCAAGCTCGTCCTAAGAGCCAGACTCTACGTGGCTTGAAATGTCAGTACCTATGCGTAATTACTGTAATTCCACAGGCAGCACTTGCCACCAAAGCAGCACCAAGAGCCTGGAGCAAGTGTCGCAGTCATTTGTTCGTCCGTCGAGAGATGACGCCACTTGCCTGCATGTTCGGGATGCTTGGAAGACTACTTTCTTTCGGAGAGGATTGCACTCTTCGCACATATGGTGCAACGATAGGGATGATCGCACAAGGGTCGCCCTCCTAACCGTGGCCACTTAGGTCCTCGGAACGCAGTCCGGTTCAGCGCCAGCCGATGAGAGGCTCTGGGTTGGGTACTGAGGGGAGCGGTCCTTGGGTTTGGGTTTCACAGCTGCCAAACCCCTGGGACAGGGTGTGGGGCTCAGGGTAGGCCTAAGTCGACCTTGTCAGCAAAGCACGAAGCCATGGACCCCCTTGAGCCCCGAGTGTATTGTTTGCGGATCTTACTTTAAACGTTTATTCATAGGCCGGCCTTTTTTGTGCGTCGGTTTGCTGCCGAAAAAGATCGCCCCACGCACAGGGCTGGCCATCCTTGCGCTGATCGGAGCTGCGAGTACAGCTTTCGTGGGTGGTGCCTCGTCTGGGATTTTTAGGGGTCAGGGTTAGGGATTTATGTTTCGGGTTTATGGGTTCCGGCTTAAGCGTAGACCATAAGCAAACAAATCCCTAAACCCTAAACCCTATGCAGCGGAGAAAGGGGTCAGTGCACTTAACACAAACCCAATAAACCTGTCAAAGGCTTAAACCCCAAGCTCTAAACCCCAAGCTCTAAACCCTAAGCTCTAAACCCCAAGCCCCCCCCACATGCCACGAGGCGGGGCGCTGCGGCGCGTGCGCCCCGACCCTCAGGAGCTCCGAGCAGCGACGCCTGGGGGTGTTCTTGCTGAGTGGATTGAACTCTCTTGCTCTGTGTGATATCACGGAGGAGCATAAGCTTTTGGGCTTGAGCTATTTCCAGAAGTCGGGCACTGCGAAGCAAACTTGCATAAATAGTTAGCCTCATTTAATGGATTCTGTGTCATATTCTTCCATAATACATTCCAAAGCCCTACATAGTGCAATTTGATTTACGAGAGAGCAGTTCTAAGATTCTGCCAGGATCGGGTGGCACTCTTAGCCACCTCGGTAGCCCAGCCGCCGACGACCACGGAGACGGAAGTCGACCACAGGAGCAGCGCTGGTTTTCTGGAGGAAGAAGCAGGGATTTTGCATATATGTGGTTATCAAAATTAGGGTCCCTTTTTAGGTCCTTATTATTATTATTACTACTATTATTGTTATTGTTATTGTTATTGTTATTGTTATTGTTATTGTTATTGTTATTGTTATTGTTATTGTTATTGTTATTGTTATTGTTATTATTATTATTATTATTATTATTATTATCATTATCATTATCATTATCATTATCATTATCATTATCATTATCATTATCATTATCATTATTATTTTCATTATCATTATTATCATTATCATTATCATTATTATTATTATTATTATTATCATTATTAACGGACATCAGTCGGTCGTTTGCATGAAGCACTCATTGGTGCACGTGAAACATCAATGGAAACAAACAAAAACCTAGAATTTGTCAAGAACAACAGTCAAGTCATTCACCAGCTCAGTGAGCGCGGTGCGCCAAGATGCAATCACAGAAGCATCACAAGCCACGACGCGCTTACAGCGTCTATGAATCTTGGTCCTTATTAGCATACGACACCTAATACTTAGGGTACCCAAAAAAAGGACCATAATTTTGACAACCACCCGTATATGTGGTTTATGGCTTGGCCGTTCAGTGACTGCCCTTTTTGGCCGGTGTTTTGGATGGTTCCTTGATCGCAGAGTCTTGCAGTTCGTGCTGGCAGCTCCCACGGAAATTTATGCCCATGCAGAAACTTAGTCCAGAATCAGAAAAAAGTTGCAGGAAGTCGCCTTTCGCGCAATGCCTGGTCGAGTACAAGAAGCCGCCAGCCACAAGAGTCAGCTTATTCGTCGCGTCTGAAAGAGTTTTAAGTTTAAGTTGAAGCTTCTGGCTTTCAGGAGTTTACGGGTTCGATGAGGAACAGTAATTGCCTGCAAGCCCAACTTACTTTAGCAAAGCCGCCTGTGCCATCCGTCAATTATTACATGGGCCAAGTAGTGTGGCTCCGCAAACATCAAACAGGGTCCTAGCACTTGACTTGTGGGGGGGCCTAACGAGTCTTGGAAAATGCTGTGCATGACACGTGCCGAGTCAGACACACCTATCATAGCATATGGCTGTAGTTGTAGTGAGATACTCAAAACATCTTTCTACCTGCCTATCTAACACTTATATCTAGCTATCGATCTAAGTTTCCACGAATTTAATCTAACTCTTACCAATCTAAGCGACACCTAATCTTGTTTAGCTTAACCTAGCCGAGACAACCGAACCACCTCTGACCGAACCCAGCCTACCCGGGCCAAATCCAACCTATGCCCGGCTGCTCGAATCTAACCTAATGTAACCCAATATTTGTCTGTATTTTCGATCACTAACTTTCAATGTGGTTTATCTCGAACTTAAGCATGTGTAAAAATTGTTCTGATACAGACACATCCATACATGCATACCCACAGATACATAAGCGAGTAATGCGAATGGGATTATGCCAGAGGCCTGACGGCTCCTTGAACGGAGAGAGCTACGTCTTCCACATGGATGCGGCCTTTGAAGACTCGAAGAGGTGGGTGTTGAGAGACTTCTTGGAATCTGGGTTTGGAGGGTTAGAGGTTTTAGGATGTTTTGGGCATTCGGGTGTTACCGTTATCGTTCAGCATGTTTGGATGCCTGACGCAAACTTTAGACTCGGGTTTATGGGAACCAAGTGCTCGAACGGCCCGGGGTCAAAGCCCACACCGCCCACACCATGACACTGAGCCAGGGCAGAGAAGAAACCCAGCTTCTCCCGGCTGCTGCAGAAGAGCATCCTGGTTGCACGAGAATCAATGAAGTTTTGGAGAATATTCGTGAGAGAACCGTAAGCCCAGCATCTTGACGTCGAGAGTTATCTACTTCCGGTTCGTGTCGCTGAAGTGACGGAGCCATTTGTCACTAGAGGCTCTCACATCTGGGGCCGCGCCACGACCGTCAGGCGCGCACATGCGGGCAGCGAGTGGTGTTACTCTTTCGACCACTTTTGCTCGACTTCGCTCTGTTACACTTGTCATAGCATACCTTTCTCGTTATAAGCCTTCTTGTCTATCTTGCTTATTCTGACGTTGTAGTGGTTATGGTGTTGAAACGGCCATAGCTTCCGTCAGGCAGGACTGGCTAATGTCATAAACCCAAATCATTTGCCCAAATCCCTACATTAACCCTATACCCGTGGTTCAACCCCTGAACCCTTACGGTGGGAGCCCCAGGTGCCTGCCTTTGAACTCGCTCTCGGGCATTGGCGGGCCTTGCATGGAGTATCCCGGCCGGTACAACGCACGAGAGTCTGAATATCGAAGTGTACAACAAGTCTTGGGGTCGTGTGGTAAAAAGTTCCCATGCAGTCCCCACAGAAAATTGGGACTAACCAAGGCTGCAGCATGGAGATAGTGATCTCACGGAAGATTTCACACGAGTAGGGGTAAGGTTAAGCGCTGGGGTCGCAGCAGCAAGGTAGGTGATAGCCAACTAAGACTGAGACTCCCGAAAGGCATTTCCAGGGCGAGGCTTCTTGCCCAACATGTTATAACAGTTGTTTGCCAGTCAGGGTTTTATGTGGTTTAGCTGCAGTTGTCCCTCTTGCAGCATGCAGTGCCGAAGAGACATGAAACGCCTGTTACGTATGAACTTTGCCCCGGTCAGGGTCGCCTTTCTAGGCTTCTCAAAAGTGATGTCCTCCCCCATTAGACCCTCTTATGCTATAGGCATTTCCACTGTTGAACTAAACCACTCAGACTTTAGAGCGTACCCGAGGTGTGTGCGGCTTTTTGTGGGCGGCACCTATGGAGGGGGCGTGATCGCCGGGGCTCCAGTCCTGGTACTCGTAACGGATCCTTCTTTTTCCCGTACCGTTCGCTCTTTAGATCAGGCGAAACGGAGGCGAACGGCGATCGATACGGGCGTCAGTGTAGCAGTACCCTGAATAATTAAGATTCATGAAGAGATCGTTTTACTTGTGTTCACGAGTAGGGACACGAAGCCGGTGCTCCAGGCGCCTGGAGCCCGGAGGTTAGTGGAGCAACCTCACTCGAGCGCTGGTGCTACTTGTATCAGGTTCCTGCGATGGACTACTCCCAGATCAACAAGACGCAGTGGCAGCCGGATGTGCCCTGACCAAACCAGTGGTATGCCATTGAGTGAGCTTTGTGCCCGGCGACCCGGAAATGTTGACAACATTTACGCCCTGGCACGGCACACGGTGCTGAGTGGGCTTATCTGAGTGGCTGTCAAAATTATGGTCCCTTTTTGGGTACCCTAAATATTAGGTGCCGTACTATATTGGGGGACCCCAAAAGGGACCTTAAATTTGACAACCACCCATCTGGAATCCTGTGCTCCACAGGCTAGAATTGCTTGCAGACGCTTTTGAGCTGCTTCGAATCCATGGGTCCAAGGCGCTAGTACTATCAGCAGTAGTCACAGTAGCCGTTCGCATCCTACTGCCCCAAACGCCAAAACCTAAACGCAAAGATTGCCTACCCAAGCCCTATATTTATAAACCCTAAACTCCGAACATTCCGAGGAGTGCCTTCGTCTTCGTGTTTTTGGCCAGCCACCGGTGGGGGATGATATCGCCTACACCGAGACAGGTGGAACTCGTCGTTGTAATTAGCTGCTCTCTTCTTGGCTAAGGGTTCGCCTTGCGGTGCGTCCGTAAGTCCTCACTCGGAACATCCTAGAATTGGCCCATTCTAGCCCTGCCCATAAAAGCCCAGCCACAACAGCTGGAATTCGGGGCCCTTGTGAAAGATGAATAGGTCGGGTCGTTCGTATTTTCATTTTCGGCGATCACACAGACAACGATCACGATTGCATTCTCGTTTGAAGTCGTTGCATCCTGTTGGATGGTTTAGGGTGACGGAATTTGGAATTGTAGAGAAGGGGTCGAACATTGCCCAGAGGGTACACTCAACAAGTGTCCATCCGAGACTAGAAACCCGAAGGCCGAAACCCCATGAGCTTTTAGCTCGGCCTTGAAGCACCAGGTGGAGGCAGCATGCCTGGCCATGAGCAGCGTATGACCACCTTCTGCCGTGTGGCAAGCTTCCCCGGCCTTGGCTGATATGGCTTTTAAGGACCCCATAAGGGTTTTATAGGGCTTTAGTTGAAAGATTTCTTAAGCATGTAGGGGTTAGCACTTTCGGGCCCTTGAAAGATGAATCTGTGACAGAATCCTACCCCTCATCTTCTGCAACTCGCACGTTAAGCCCTCTCGGGCTGGCCCAGCTTTAGATGTCAGTTGTTCTCGACTAGAGTTTCCCCATGAGTAATGCAGCCGGTGTATGCGAAAGACCCTGATTGCTGCGGGGTCCCTAAATTAGCGGGGATGTCTTCCCAACTGGGATTGAGGTGGAGACTCAGTGTAGACAAACCACCGGCAGTCGATTAAGCAAGAGGGCTTGACGAGACTGGCAGTGAAGAGAAGGTTGCGGCTGCAATTGGAAGAATTATGGCTCGGCCGAGCTTGGACTAGGATCGAGTCGCATATGACTCCTACTACAGGTTCAGCAGAATGTTGGTTCCTGGGTGACATAGAGAACCTTGGGAGGTAGTTTGGGATTCGGCCAGGGTCGGTCTTGTACAAAGGAGGACGCCCCAAATAACTGGGCTTCTACAGTTTTACAGCATGGCGTCCTGCTCTGTCTTGGCCGACATCGCTCCTCAGATGTGTCCAAGTTGCAACGCCGTCTCCGTCATCGCATGGATTTGTCGTCGAGAGTTGTTGCTTTGCCTGCGAGGGCTAAGATACTGAAGTACAGGTTCGGGCATGGAGCGAGTTGGTCCCTCCTTTGAAGCAGCAGACGCTGTGCCAACTTTTAACTTTTCCTTTCCCATCCTCGCGGTCCTCAGTCCGCAAAGACAATGAGTCAATGAGAGTGAGGTATAATGAGCTCCCAAGCCCCGAAACCCTGAACCCTTTCAGCCCCTAACTCCATCAGATATGATGCGCAGTTTTCCTGGTCGATGCCGGGGCGAAGCCCTCGGTTTTTCCCGAAACTGGAGGGTACCCTCGCCAGGGTCGCCAAGGGTGTTAGAGTACCCTGGAAAAGGGGGATGCTCCAAGCTAGGAGACTGTTTCCCAGAGGTACAAGAGCACGTAGGCTCAGCAGCAGAAACAGCAAGGGTGGTCGTAAGACTGATACAGATAGCAGGTATTGTATTGTAGTGATCGTAGAAGGAACAATTGCACACAAGGCTGCAGTTACACTCTCAGTTGGCATTCATGCTAATGGCTCTATACAGCGATAGGTAGATGCTGGAAATAGCGTAGATACAGCATGCAGCAGTCTTTAGTGGCATATGACGATGACGAATTGACTGATTAGATACATAACCGGGAACATAAACGGGAAAGTAGCGATACATAATGGTGAATGTCTGTAGATGCGTCTGGAAATGTGCGCATCGTGCGGGTGCGACATAATCTTCGGTGGCCAATGGCGAAATCCTCCAGCTAAGAGGCTTAAGCCTGGTACAGGGGACGGTCTTCTGTTGTTGCGGCTCCTAGCCCCTGAACTTTCTCGACCTTCTTCTTCTGGTTGCTATGAGCATCTCACTAGGAGTCGAATGGTAGCTACACTAGTACTTACTTGTAACAGGAAGGCGGAGCCGGCTACGAACGAGCCTCAACTGTAAACTTGTTGCTGCTTCCGTGGCCGACGGCACCAGTCTCAAGGCGGCAGTGGCATGGAGTTCAGGTTCAGGGCTTTCAGAGATCTCCGAGATCTCGAGCTTCAGGGTCTGCGCTTGGGGCGGCAACAATAACAACAAGACCTGACACCGAGGCACTATCCTGGTAATCTCTACGAAGAACCACTACCAATAGTAGGCAGCAGAAGGAGCACATCAACGAGGGTACTGCAGCTCTGAGTAGCCGTAGCTAGGAACATGAGTCCGCTGCTCCTCTGCCCGCCTTGGAAGACCTAAAGATTCAGCTTTTCTCACGAGATGCGGCCTTGAAGGGGACGCTTCAAACCATAAGCCAAGATGTGCGTGCGGAAAGTCTGCTTTGCCGAGGGCTTCAATGCATTCCCGCACCATCTCTGTCTGCTTACACCAAAAGCCTGTCTCATGGTACATCGGCACACACGAGCTTGCAGCAAGTATAACGACCTTCAGCCACAGATGCGCCCAAGCCCTGAACCCTAAGGCCTAGAACCCTACAGTCAACCCCACAGTCTAGGCCAAAAGCTTACATCTGCAACCCAGGCCTGCCGGGCTACTTGCCGAGACACTTTCTGGGTGTAAGGTCCCCTACCTGCCAGTGGTGCGATGTAATATGAACCAAAGCCCTACACCCCGAACGCCCTAAGCGTAACACTAAACCCTCAATCCTCTAAGCCCTAAGCCTAAACCCTAAACCCTCAATCCTCGAAGCCTAACCCTATAAACCCTAAAGCCTTAACCCTCTAAGCCCATTAAACCCCTACACTCTTAACTTAACCCCAAACCCTAAACCCTACACCCTCTATAAGCCCAAACCCCTACACTCTCAACTAAGCCTCTTAACTTAACCCCAAACCCTAAACCCTATACACCCCCTAAGCCCAAACCCACTACACTCTCAACTGTCATCCTCCAGCCCGAAGCCTGGAACTCCAAATGAGACCCGGCAAGCGTTCCGGCAAAGATGGCAGAACCAGGAAAGACAAGAAGGCACGGTCGGTGTGTGTGTGTGTGTGTGTGAAGTCTTCAAGGGGTTCAGGGTTTAGGGATGTTTAGGGTTTAGGGGTTTGGGGTTTAGGGGTTTAGGGTTTAGGGTTAGGCTCAGGGTTTGCAGGGTTCAGGATTTAAAGGGCCCGGTTCTTGGGATTTGGGCTTTGAAGGGCTCAAGGGCTTATGCTCAAGCAATCGTGACAGCTGTTATTCTCCCCTGAAGTGGGAGCCCGAAACTCCAACTTCTGTACCTACCAGCTTCCGATACGTGAAGCTTGGTTGCTTGATTATGCCGCCTTTGTGACTTGTATGGGGCTCAGGCAGAAATGGCACTCAGGTCTTTCCCTACTCGCATTACACATTAAACAAGCTACATGAAGGAGTTCATCTTGAATGGACCGGAGGTTTGTGTAAATATGTGCGGTCATACACATGTACGCACATGAGCATTACGAACACTACTTGTACTACTGAGACAACGTCGGGTTTTGCGGACACTACCGTTGCTGCTATGGCGTCTTTTTGTTTTCTTTGTCGTCGTTATTGTTGTAGCTGCTGCTGCTCTTTCTGCCACGATGTACGTATGATAGCAGCAGCTCTTCTGAGTGCCACTGTCGCATTGTCTGCGAGAGGGCGGAGGGGGACAGCCACTGCTGTTAATTACTGTTGAGGAATGCTGGTCTCCAAGCTACTTACTACTCACCTGTTCAGGGTCTCGGGTTTCCCTCAAGCCCAACCCCACAACCGAAAGCCTACCCCTCGTTTTGCCACAAGTAGCACATTATGATAAGTTCTCAGCACCTAGCAGGCTCTCCAACCAGATGCTCCGAAGAGATCGGCCAAAGAGGCGTCGGTGGCAGTCCAGAAAACGCTGTCGAGGATAGCATTTTCCAGGGATGCCTGTCAAAACGACAGAACATGCAGGCGTACTCTTTACATGTTATGAAGTAGTAGTTCATTCTTGTTTTTGCGCCAACATATGTGTACCTCTGAAGCCTTGAAGTGTAGAGAAGCACATAACAGTTCATAGGTAAGTCCAATATGCATACAGGCACTACAAACTATGAATCAGATGGATACTTGCCATTCCATCTCACGGCCTTCACCTTCGATGCAGTATTCAACCACAGACCTATGTGTTTGTAACTTGGACGATTTGGCAAAGTCCATGATCTCTCGGGGCAGCGCATCTGGTCAGGCTGTGGCTGAGACACCGGCCAGGCCGTGAGCACAATAACTCTGCATTGTGCTTGTTAAATCTTCAACTCAGGCTTCAATTCCGGGGTAGAGGGGGTTTGAGGGGCTAGGGATGCAAATGTCATCGCGACAGCTGTCGAGCTTGCGATGCCCGATGAGGCCCAGAAACTGTGAGTCGACGCTAAGCCCGGTCCTCCAAGCACGAAGCTTATGTATGTATATATATATATATGTACATATATACATACTGCATACACGGCTTAGGGTTACATAGGTATCTCCAAAAAGTCCTAAACTGGTGGGTTTGGGGTCGGAAACCGGAGGAAGTGTATGGATTTCGCAAGGCCAAGCCGCTGGGCACTGGCGCTCCTGGGTGGAGCCTTGTTCCAGGCATCATGCGGCTGTCACGAAGGGGCCTTAATAATTACCAACACTAGTTTGGGGTTCCTTCTTATATTTATAGTATAACGGGCCCCAAAACCCTATTCTAATTATTAAGGCCCCCATATGAGCCTCTGTTCTTTCTTGGCTCGCAGGTGCCTACATCTGGAGTAGGGGAACCTGCTGCAATCCCTCGGGTCAAGTAGCATTAGTAGGATCTTCAGTAAAGGACGCAAGAGACGAAATCCTGTGTCCATTAAGAACCCTTGAAGGGACCCTTTTGGAATCCGTATAAGGGGACCCGTATACAGAACCCTGGAAGGAATTCGATAGCTGTGACAGGCTCTCCTGGGCCTGTTCTTCTTCCGGGGCGGGGTGCAGGCACGCGAGTCTCTTCGCGTGACGCCTTCTTGACCCGGGGGCTTAGGGTTTCGGGTTTAGGGCAGTAGAATTTCCCAGGGGCCACTACAGGGCTTTCCGGTTGCTTCGGGCTGCAATCAGGGTGACTAAAGCTTGCAAGCCTCAAAGCACTTCAGCCCTCCACCCTGACCTTCAACTTCATCATCTGTCACAGGCTACGTGAGATGCCTCAAATCAAAGGACATGAATCCTGCCTGCTACACGCCAGCAGGCTGTCACCAAAGATTTCCTGGCGGAAGGCTCCGCGAGTTTGGCAGCCGTGCGTTCAACGCAATCTCTCGGATCAGAAATTGCCAGGTAAAGGTTCTGCAACCAGTATCCTACAGGCGATTGCTGGATATATACTCCAAAAGTGCTATCGGATTCCACTCATTTTCGGTATTCTCAGGACTTTGGGCTTCAAACGTCAATTCGAACGTGGGGCCTCTGATTTTGTCCACGTGTTCCGACCGGGTGATGCGGGAACAATTGCAGGTACAGCATCCCAAGCATACATTCAGCTCGTCCATCAAGCTCCTAAGCCGAAATCCTAAACCCGAAACTCCCTAATTAAACCCCTTGACCTTGCACCCTAAATCCCTAAACCCTAAGTCGAATCTATCAAAGCCCCTTTCAAGGAGGGGTGGCAGGGCCGTTGTCAGTCTTCGCAGACCCGGATGTGAGAAGCTCGGACTTGCCAATGTGCCGACTCAAATCTCGTGGTCTTCTGCTCCGTGTGGACTCTAGGATGTTCGCAGCTGCTGGTCTCAAGGGCCAAGTGTATGCACAAGGCAGAATCATGATGATGATGATGATGATGACCATGCGGATGAGGTAGGTGGACGACGAGGATGACGACGACGATCCGTACTACTACCACAGAAGACCATCAGCACGAGACAAGCCGTCTTCATCATCTTAGGTAGGTGCAAAGAGTCATCGTCATGGTCGCAGCAACACAAGCCGAGGTATTAACATAGCTTGTGCATGCCAAACAGTAGAACTGTACTGTATACCAGCCTCACATGACAAAGCTGTGGTTCTCAGATTCTTAGGGCTGTCGTTGCCCCGAGTCTTGGAATCCCAGGCAGCGGGCTCCGTCTGCGGGATTCACGATTCAAGAATGGTCCCCGAACCTATGCAACCTGAGCTTCTAGCAGATCGGATCCTGTTCATATGGGAGTTTCCGAAAAATAGGGGACTCTAACATAGTATAGCATCCTTATTACAAGGACCCCAGAACAAGGCACCCCTAATCTTCCGAAACTCCCATATCGGGACCTCTTTGTCAAGACTGCCCCTGCCTTCCAGAGGCCTCCTTCCAAGTGGAGATGGCAGATGACGAAGGCCAGCAGAAACCAGGAGTTTTTTCGAGAATCGTGCCTAAATCTGAGGTTCTGGGGCTCGTTAAAAGGAGATCAGGCCCTGGTGTGAGCAGTTGTAATATAGGGGTCTTCACATAATTGCAACAAGAAGGTCTTGGGGTAGATTGTACTCTAATCTCAGAAAACTGCTAATGCTATTGCAAGACGTTGAAGTTAACCTCCAGCGAGCTGGGGAGGTCTCGGTCTTTTATGTTTAACATCGGTACCGACCTTAACTGCTTCAGCCCTCGGTGATTGGAATTGATATCGAAGCCGCCGCACCGATCTTCTCAACCCCGCAGGAGAAAACGTGGAGGTGGACCCAGGTGCAATTGCTATCCTGGTGCCGCGGCTGCTTTCAGAGGTTGAAGCTAATTATTATGGGACGAGCGAAGTATTCGAGGACCTACGGTCTACCCTAAACCGAAGCCCCTGCACCATGGTCGGATGTTAAGTCCAAGCTACGGAGGCCTGCTTGGAACCCTGTAGTCGTCTCTAGCCTGCTGTGCTTCGATGGCTGGGTAGTGGAGAAATGTCGCAGTCGTAGGACTCTAATCAGCAGTGGTGAGGCTAAACATTACGAACCACGTGCATGAAGCATTTCATTAACCACGAAGGTGTTATTCTCTTGGTTTCCGTTCCATCAGATGCTGCCGCGGTGCTTTGTGCAATTTGTGCCCAAGCTGGACTTAGGTGCTCGCCAGTGGACGGAAGGCCTGGTACTGTAGGTGGAGTTGATGTTGTTTTGATCTGATCTTACGAGATGCGATCGGAAGGTGACCAGCTATATGAGCATCAATGAGCGTTCGCTCCCTTTCCGGGCCTGTGTGAAGGTGTGGCTTCTTCGAGCCACACTGCGGTCCCTGTCACGTGCCGGCCACAGTGAATTAAAGCACACGTTGGACTGTGGTGTTTGGTTAGCTGGCCTCCTGGTCGGTGAAAAAGCCCAAGCCACAATGGGACTAAAAGGATCCAGAAAGACTTGGAGCCACAACAGCAAATGACGAACCATTAAAGAAAATCCTGGGAACCTGTCTTCGACCCTTGCGATGCCGAGCTTGCGAGGCGTAGATGGACTGCGGTCAGCCAGTGCCTGGATCCTACATGGATATGCGGTTTGTCAAATGTCTGCCGGGGTAAAGCTTCGTCGGCAGTACCAGTATTAGGTTTTAGCACTGGGGGTCTTCTCACCTGATATCTTGTATGACTGATATTCCGGTGTCTGCATTTGCATTGCCATGTCCGTCAGTCAACGGCATTGTTTCAGTCTTTGGCCGTACATCCACACGTGCATGCTGCCTTGCAGGTGTGTTCGTGTTCAGACAAGTTGGTCGGTCGATCTTTGTCGTAGGTTGAACCGATGCACGCACGAAGAGAGCGAGAGAGAGAGAGAGAGCTAGCATCCAGAGACGTAGGCAGCCAAGCAAGTGCGACTGTAACGAAACTTGCCCAATTGCATTCGTACAGAGTTGGAGGTACCACTCTTCACTCTCTTGATTATCCTTTCCTGCATGAAGAGGCGAGGAGAAGGTGATGTTTACCTTTTTTGGCAAGTTCCCTGCAGTGTTTTGCAGCCCCTGGGCTGCCCAGTCTCTTGTAGTCTCTTCTTTTCTGAGGGCATGCGAAACCTTGCACGACATGCATTGAATTCAAAACCCACAAATTCGAATCTTCTCAGGTGTTGGTTTCCTTGGCATCTCCTGGTCACACTTCACAGATGGATGCCATTGAGGAGCCTGCGACTCATCTTCCTCGGCTTTTGGGCAATCTCTCACTTTGCTCGCAACGAGTCCCAGATGCATCGCATAAGATCTGAAAGCTAAGTCAATATAGACATCCCGTCCTTGATAGTGCCGCAATGCCCGTGCAAACCACGCGAGCTCTGCTGCTGTCAGTGCTATCTGTGCTACAACTTCTACGACGGCTTGAGAGTGTGTGGCATTGATGATGGTGGGGAGGTGAACAGCCGCTAGTAATCAGCATTTGGAACTACTACCAACTGTAGAAAGCATTGTAGAGTAGCCGCAGTGATAACAACTGTCGTAGGACTGATGACAATCACAACTTAAACCTTAGCAGAGAAGCAGCAGAAGTAGCAGCTAACTTTTCAGACCCCAAGATTGCGCAAGTTGGCCGGACAGGTTCGGCTTCTCCTGTGCTGGGTTTGCCGACAAAGCCAGCCCCTCGAAACCAGGCTGGCACACAAGTGGCTTGGGTATAGGGTTTTACCGTTTACGGTGTTTGGGTCTACGTGCTCCAAACCTGAAGAGTTGTTTTGTTGGATGACCCAGGCACCAGGCATAGGGTGTCTTCGCGGCTTCAGGGTTCATTACGGATATGGATTTCGGCTCTTGAGGCAGGTGAGTCGCTATTTTAATTAGAGTCGGAGGAGCTATTGCCTCGAACCCTAAACCCTAAGCCCTAAACCCTAAACCCCTAAACCCTAAACCCTTCGCAGGAAGGAAGCAGACGCGGATCTTTCCCGTCTTCACCGAGGCCTGCTTACCTCACGGGGGTGCTCGAAATCCTTGTGTCAAGACAAGGCCATTCCTGTATCTACCCGAGTGCTCAGGCCTCATGTTAGGGACAAAGCGAGCCCCCAACGAGCTAGTGGTGACTTGAATAGTAGCTTACTAACAGTAACTACGTAGGGCTTAGGGTAACCCAGTAACCAATGATTTCGGTAACTGGAGTCCCTGTATGCTTCGAGGCTGCTACGCCCGGCAACCACCTGCATCGATCATTGAAGTTTGCCCTCCGGCACTTCAAAAAAGGTGCGCCGTGCTCTGAGTATTCTGCTTGAGCCTTGAGTCTGAAACCTTGGGCGGGGGGCGCGCCAGCAGACTTGAGATGATGGCATGTGTGGCGTTTCAGAGCTGGCCTTCGGGGCGGGGGCATCCAAACCCCGAACAGCCTCAACGCGTCGTGGAGCCATGGATCTGTGTCTGGATGGATTTGACGACTTGGGCTTGGATAGTCTCGGCCCCTCGCGGGGCTGGTCCATGAAGCGCGGCCACCGCCAGCGACTGGACGCTGCGAGCTGCCGGAACCCCAAGAAGATGGGGAAGGCAAGTGCGGAGGCGCCCCGACAGCAACGAGAGACCTTGGTCCTCGTTTTTTCAATGCACATGGTCCAGCTCAGTATTTTCGAGGTTCAAAAAGGTTCAAAGGTTGCTGCTTCTTTTCTGCGTAGATGTCAGGTCGGATTGGGCCGATCGGCCGTAAAGCGCAGCGTGAACTCTGGCAGCTGCATTCTGAGTTGTTCTTGAGCACGTGCTCCTGGTCATCATGCTCATGCCAATACTAATACTAATACCAATATTAATACTAATACTAAGCCCACCTGCTTTTACAGTTCAGTAGCAGCAAAACTAAACTAAACAGTAATGTTCAAGTACTTGATCAGTAGCTACGTAGTGGATTTTTGTGGGTGTAACCCCTGTGCGGTTGGGTGGCCCCTGGTACGATGCTTGGGGGTGTGGGCGAATCTGTTTGCGGGTGTCTTTGCAAAAGAGGCACAGCGCAGAGCAGCAGGTGAATCTGCCGGGTGTGGGTTTCCCTCACAAAGCACACTTCGATTAGGGCGTATCTTGGGTGTGTGTGTGTGTGTGTGTGTGTGCGTGTGTGTGAGCAGCAGGGCGCATCCAATACGAATTGACTGATCTTGCTGCAGGTAACTGCACTCGCTATTTAACAGCGGGCCCAACCGCGTTCATTGCACAGCCCTTCTTGAGAACGACTGAGGCCGCAATTCGTGGCGGGATCGCAAGTATGATCCGCAGACCCGCCGCAACAACTTGAGACGTTGGATGCGCGAGGCAGTGTACGAAAGTGAGGAGCTGGAAAGCGACTGGGAGAACTGCATGATTCTGTCTTTGGAGCATGTTGGTTCGCTGGAGGCCAAGTGGGAGGATCTGGAGGTGGCATCGGTCTGCTCCTCTACCACAGCAGGCTTCGACACCGCTTCCACTGCTTCGGACTTTGGCTGGGAGTTCCTTGAGCCATCCACGCCGAGCTGTCCCTCCACTCCCAAAATCGACATCTCCCCATGGCAGGCGGCCCTGCGCCGGGCGGAGCGAGGGGCCAAGGAGTATGCGGAGCAATCAGGATGTGCAGCAATCACGGGAATCGGAGAACGTCAAGGAAGGAGGCGTTTCAAGCGAGCTAACGTCAGGCACATTGAAAGGATCCATGCCGAGAAGCAGAAGCTAGCAGCGGAGCTGAGGAGCAAGTACCAAGTGAACCTTGACTATGATCTGCCGTCGGCAGGACCTACCACACCGTTCGAAAAGCTTCGATGGAAGTTTTTGAAGGACCACGCCAAAGCCTTCTGCGCTTCTCTTTCTGTCCACTACTTGAGTTGCGGCTGGCAGTGGAACTTGAAGCCCACCCCCTTGCCTCAAGCTGTGGAGGACGGCAGTTTCGTTTACATGCGCCGCACGAGAGAAAAGCCACAGAAGCGGTGACAGACAAGAGAGCATGAGAGAGGTTGACAACGCTGACAGAGTGGCCAATCCAAGGCCTGACCCAAGCTCGTTCACTCAAGTCCCCGGGTCTGGTGCTGCGTGTGCTGCAGAACGATATTAGCCCTTCGCCCATTAACTAGCCATCCTTCGTTCCTCGCATGATGAAGCCCCGAGACGTGTAAGAGCGTAAGATGAAATATGACGAAATGCTGACTTTCCGTGCAGAGGACAGATTTCTGAGTGCCTGCGCTCGAGCAAGGGAAGGCGAGCTGCAGCCGGCTCTTCACGGCACACACGAGTCCAACCTGTCCTCCATCTATTCCCAGGGTCTTCTGATCCCTGGACAGGGAGGCAACAGTGTGAGGATCGTGAACGGAGCCCTGTCGGGTGTTGGAATCTACACAGCCTACGTCAACTGTGCAAGCTTGTCCTGGCCTTATGCCCGTGGTGAATCTAGGCCAGTACTTGTCTGCGGCGTTTTGGATCCACTTACGAGAAAGAGAAGTCGCGAGCACAAGCCAAGCCTGGTGAACTACACTCCTTCAGCTCGCATCTTCTTCAAGGATGATCTCGTTTCGCCACTATTCGAGGCATCCCTTGGCAGCATTCCCGCTTCTAGCTGCACTCCGCCAACGCCCGTTGCAGCAGTCCCTCCCAGAATCCTTCCACCTCCAACCAAAGCAAAGGCGCTCGGGCCTCGGACGCGGCTCAGGTCCACCGTGACGGTTTTGAACTCTGCACGGGCCTTCCTGGCCCGACGTGCAGCGCGCAAGCGTCAAACGTGAGCGCTTCGAATGTACAGTGTACAGCTACCAGCGAGCTCTGGTTTTGCCCGGGGCACCTCCGATTTTGGAGTCAAGGTTTGTTGAATTAAGAAAAGGATGGCCGCATTTTGGGCATCCGATAGGTTGTACAGGACGTTGACCGGCAACGACCGTCGGGACACCACATCATCAAGCTGCGAGGCATCGCAAGGCATTGCAAAATACATAGGTCGTGAAGCTGTGGAGGGATGCAGTCCGAAAGTTGACAGCACTAAGCCTCAGACTGAGGCTGTAGAAGTCTTGAAAATTGGGGGCTTCCTTCACCCTCAGCCCTCCGCCCTGAGCCTTTCAATGGGAGGCTCCTTTCGGGCCCTGTTGGTACTGGAGGCGCGCCCCGGGGAGTCTTCGGGTTCTCTCAGTTTTTGCACACTGCCACGGCTTTGTGCAACAGGGAGTAAGAGTTTCAGGGGTTCGGGGGATGGTCTCTTCGAGTGAACTCCCCAACCTTTGTAGTAAACGTCAACCACACTCACGAACACCCCGACACTAGCTCAACTCTTAAGCTTCCGGCCCGTAACCTTAAACCCCATAAGCCCCATGAGCCCTACAAGCCCTAAGCCCTCTAAGCTCCATAAACCCTGCAAACCCTAAACAGGAGGGTCAGCTCTTCTCTCTGGACCTGCCGCTTGGAAGCGGGTCGAGGTTTCAGGGCACAGTTTTTGTCTGGAGCAGAGGGCCCGTCCATACTGGCATCGCCATGCACACACACACAGATATATATATATATATATATATATATATATATATGTATATATATATATACACATATTTATTTATATTTATATATATATATATATATATGTACGTGTGTGTGTATGTAATGTGTATATAACATATATATATATATATATACACACACACGTTTTGTACATAATGTGTATGTATGCACGTTTTATGCATAGTGTGTATGTATGTATGTATGTATGTATGTATGTATGTATGTATATATATATATATATATATATATATACACACACATTTGTTAATATATAGAGAGAGATATAGAGATATGCACTGAATTAACTCTATATATGTGCATACACGTATACTGTATGTATGTATACGTATACATGTACAGATATTTGCACCCCTCAACATGCTGTATTGCTTTGATAGCTTCTGGATCCGGGAACGGAGAGTCCAGGCTTATGCACCCCCACGTCTTGTGGTTCAATCGGGTCGCATTGCCTGTAATATAGGGGCCTTAATAATTAGAATCGGCCCAAAAAACTACATTCATAATCAGGAACCCCCAAAATAGTGCTGGCAATCATTGAGGACCCTTATTCTTGCACGTCTTGTCATCCTACTGACTCGGGGTTTCTTACGTCCCCAGATGAAATCGGAAATGGCATCCTGGAGTCCTTTTTGGCCACAGGGGCCCCTTGAACTTCATATATGGTCACGCGCTCTGCGGCTGCCGCCCCCCTCCCTCCCCAAAGGTCAATGGTCCGGATATAGGGTGGGGCCCCCCCTCCCCTGTGCTGTAGGTTCCCTCTTCCCCCTGTGGGGTGGTTGTGGGGGTTTTGGGGTTTTGGGTCTAGCTTAAGCTTTTGGGTTTTGAGTTTTACAAGGTATAAGGCTTCGAGTCGAGAAGGGCTTAGGGAGGATTTGTGGTGTATGTTCTGCTTTGGGCTTAGAGCCTGCAGCTAGGTGGGGTTTAGGGTTGGGAGTAGGGTTTTAAGGTACACGTTAAGGTTACTCAAAACAGGCTTGCGAAGGGCTTGCGTATGAGCCCTGGCCGCCAGCACCACCCCACCATATAGTGGCAGCTCCAACGGCCCCGACCACTTTCCGCGCACGCCAGCCCCCCCCCCCCCCCCTTACAGGACCATACCATTGGGGGGGGCGGGTGGGGGGCGGGTGGCTGGGAACGCCAGACGCCTGACCATATACGTCTTTCACATGAGCAGCGTTTTTTTAGCTATGTTGGAATTTATATAAATAAACCAGAATATCCGACATGATCCAACATCGTGCGCGTAGCCATTCTCCTTGAGGCGCGTAGATGCGCGTAGGCCTTGCGTAGGCCGACCTGTTGCGTAGGCTGCGTAGGCTATGTTTTGAAATGCGCTAAGATAGGAGCAAGAGGTTTGTTTGTGCCATGTTTGAGTCTTTCTCCTGTTGAGAAGACTGCAGTTAGTACCACGTATTACAATTAATCGAAGGCGTGCCATGACTGCATCCCAGGGCACGTGGGCCCATGCAACACAATAGAGTTCCAGTTCCGTAAGTAGTTTTACTACAGGCCTCGAGGAGGTCCAAAATCGGATGTAGTTGATTGCACTTCGCGTAGGCACGGCGTAGTCCTTGCGTAGGCTGCGCGTAGCCTTTTAGGAGTCGCTTTCTCAATCATTTATGTTGACCTCCTTACTTGGATTTCCGGGTCTAGACTTGCGGCTGCTGGATTGAGGTCTTTGCAGGGTGTTTCTTCGATTTTTTCACGCAGCCGGCTATATCTACACGAAAGCAGAACACACCTAAAGGCTTCGACGTTTTGGAAGACAAGTCCTCCTACGCCTCCGTAGCGCGTAGGCTTGCGTAGGCCATCATAGCTCGAGATATCTCTGCGTAGGGAGCTTTCCGCATGGTGGGCCTGGATAGCGCGTAGAGTGGCGTAGCCCAGCGTAGGCTCTATATGGATAAGAACCGCCCATATAACAAAAAAACACAGCTCACATGTTGATAATTATACATCTACACCCTTACTCTTTGATTCTTTATGCGTTGCTACATGTTGCACGCTCTTAAATACAAACTCCCATGTGATATGTAGCTACGTACATAAAAGACACACCCACACACCCAACCAAATTCCTTGTCCCTCAACTACTTCTTGGCGTGTCATAGGACCTGACAGGTACCTAAGCTACCAAGTGCTTTTCTGCAGGTTTTCCGGTGTGGAGGCTTTCGCATACGCGCCTCAAGAACTTTACGTTGGGAAGGGTGCTGGGGGTGGGGGCTACACGTACCTTACTTCGTACCTTACCTTAGTTACCCTAAACCGCAAACCCTTAAACCCTAAACCCTAAACCCTTAAACCCTAAACCCTAAACCCTTAAACCCTAAACCCTGAACCCTAAACCCTAAAATACCCTAAACCCCAAACCCTTAAACCCTAAACCCTAAACCCTTAAAAGAGATGGAGGCTCCTTGTCGGGTTCTCTCACAGTCCGGTACCACCGAGGCTCTGGTTCTTCGTGCAGTTGCTACCGGCCTTCAGCCGGGACCTCGGTGGTGAGAGTCTGTTATTCGGAGATGGCTTCCGGGTGAGCCTGGTTTGGGAGTTTAGGTTCATGATTGCGAAGAGTTATTCGGATTTCGGTGCGGCACTATTTCGTCATCATCTCAGCTGCCGTCTTTCCTGCATCTCCGGGGAGTGGGTTCGGCAACCAAACCCTAAACCCTAAACCCTAAACCTTAAACCCTAAACTAAACCCTAAACCTTAAACCCTAAACCCGAAACCCAATTTTCGACTCCTGGAGTCCTCCACCTCGCGGTGCCTTATCTCAGTCCCTCAGCAAGGCCATGATGAGACCTTGTGGTGCGCAAGCGCTCTCAACGAGAATGCTTATGCGTGCCCTACTTAGCCTTTGCCCGTGTGCTCTAATAACCAGTGATGCAGATGATAAGTAAGTAGACACACTGTGGGCATCCGTTGAAGTCCAGGATGTCTGTGTATGGTTACTGTATGCCAAACGTACAGAAATAGACGACGAGTGCATGTGCGTACGCGTGTTTACATGTACGTGTGCTTTCATGTGTGTGTGTGTGTGCGCGCGCGCCGGTGTATGTTTTAGTTTACCTGCGCCAGACGTTTCAGAAAAAGCCAACTCAACACATATGCGCGAACGAGCGCGACGGAGAGCAGAAGGGTTTCAGGGCTTGGAAAGTCGAGGTGCGGGATTGCCAGACCACAGCCCTGACCCCCTAAAGCCCTAAATCCCAAACCTCACGGCTTGCTCTCGAGTTGCTGTTACTCTGTTGCAGTTTAGGCGAAGCTGGGAGCTCCCCCTGTTCAGAGCCTCTACAGTGCTGTGCATAATCAGTAGTTTCATTCCTTACGGTTCCTGGTTATCGTCATTGTACGTAATGTGATGTACCCCAAAGCCCTATCTTTGAACATTGAGGCCCGTCTCGTAAGCCCTTATCCCGTGACTGTGGGTCGGGCTGTGCGTGACCAAGCCCAAGCTTTAGGGCCTTAGTAGTTGAGCAGGTAACCTTTAAGCTTTTGGGGTCTATACAAAAGGTTCCTATACGGGTATTATAAGGGTTTAGGGGTAATTCGCCCTTAACCTTTTTGGGCTTATATAATCCTAGCATACTTGAAAAGGTTAACCCTTTTTTGGGTTAGTGTGTTCAGCCCCTGAGAGGCAGTACGTGGCGGATCCGACGGTGGTTCTCCGGAGCGATGGCTTTAGCGACCAAGGCCCCAGGGCTAAGGAGCAGCGACAGAATCCTATGGCGGAGAAGGGTTTAGGGTTTGGGGGTTTAGGGTCTAGGGTAAAGTCCACAAAATGCAATCTGATCAAGTCATCAAGGTTACTGAGGTTCGGATTGTACCGAAGCAGCTGCGTAGCTGCACACCCCGCAAAATACCCCTTTCTGCCTGATTTGGACTGGTGTGACAGGGGCAGACACCCCTCGGCCACTTCCTCAACCCCCGCAGCCCGGAACATACAGCTTTGTTTCCATCACCTCAGTGTAGGGGCCTGAATAATGCCCAATATGGTTCCCTAGTTCTCCTTCCTTTGTATTCTACCCCAAACCCTGTTTTAAGAAGTAAGCCTCCTGCACTAGGCGTGCGAGCCTTAAAGCCAAAGCTCATCCACCTTGCAGCAGTCAGACTCGAGCCCTAAATTCTGAATGCTCCCAACCGGAATCCCGCGAAGCCGGGATACTTTCTGGGGCAAGCCGCAATCCCGAAATAGTCTGAAACACTGGAACACTTGAGCCCTAA